ATGTTCACTGCAGCATTATTCACAAGAACCAAGATATAAAAGCAACCAAGTTTCCCAGTCAAGTTACTTCTTCCTTACAACAACAGCAAATGAAGAAGATCCTTAAGTGCTTATTTGGGGGGGGGGGGGGATGCCAGGGTTGGCCACAGCCAGCAAGAGTCAGATGTTATTCCTAGCTTTTCACTCGGAAATCATCTCTGTTAGTGCTTGAAAGATCATGTGAGAGGCCAGGGATCAAATCCAGGTCAACTGTGTGCAAGGAAATCACCCTACCCACTGTGCTATTTCCCCAGTCCCAAATTAATTTTTTAAATACCTGGTTCCTATCTCTTCTTCATCCAAGTTACCTTTGCACCTGTTTGTGCTTCAACCTTTATTTTATATTTTTGCTATCCTTGTAAAACTTACTTATAATTTATCCTTTTAAGTGTGTAGATAGTTCTATAGAAAAAGTCATGTAATCACAATTATAATCAAAACAAAAAACACATTTCTATCATAACTGCACAAGTTACTGTACAATAGTAATTTTCTGTGCCAATTTGTAATCAGCCTCTCTACCCTTCCCCAGACTCTGGTAATACTGAATTGTTTTTATCTCCCATTTTTTTCCTCGAATTTCATGTAAATTGAGTTTAAAAGTTTTACTTTAAGTCTGGCATCTGTAACTCAGAATAATAAATTTGAGATTCCATTATGTTCTGTGGCCATCATCAGTTCATTCATTTTAATATGCAGATGTATCAGTTTCTTTATTCTTCAGTTGAAGAATATTTACTTTGCTTCCAGTTTTTGGTAATTGTGAATATAGCCACAATAATCCTCTGTTTATTTTTTCTGGACCAAGTTAGCTTGAAGTGAAAAATGAAATCAGGTCTCATTTCACTTGCTGGACCACATGAATACATATATATAATTTTATACATAAGAAAATATGAAACCATTTTTCAAAGTGATTGTTCCATCTTGCATTCGCTCCAGTCATACTGGAGTGACCCAAATTCTATACTTGTTTACTTGCATAGCCATTCTATGCAGTGAGCAGTAATATCTCATTTTAGTTTAACTTTATTTCATTAATTATTGATGATGTTAAATATATTTTATTGCGATCCAATCAGTGGGAAATGTCTAATAAAATCATTGGTCATCCCTTTTTATAGAATAAGTTGGAATGATTGTTTTCCTATTTATTATTATTTTTTATGGGTTTTCAGGTATTCCACTTGCACGTTCTTTAACAATAAGCATTTTGTAAACGCTTGTTCCAAGTTTATGGCTTGACTTTTCACTCTCTAAATTCCTTTTTCTGAAATCCTTAGTTCTGGGTAGTAGAGGTGTGAAATAGCAGTATTGGCAAATATATACAAATTAACATACCTTATACCTTAATAAATAAATACATTTAAAAATGAACGTTTTAAATTAACTGTAGGGCTGGAGCGATAGCACAGCGGGTAGGGCATTTGCCTTGCATGTGGCCCACCCGGGTTTGATTTTTCCGCCCCTCTTGGAGAGCCCAGCAAGTTACCGAGAGTATCTCACCCTACCTGTGACGTATTAGATATGCCAAACACAGTAACAAGTCTCACAATGTTACTGGCCCTGCTCGAGCAAATCGATGAACAACAGGTGGGCAGTGACAGTGATAGTTTTTATATCATTTTGGTTACAAAAAAATGAATGCAGTGGGACCCTGCAAGCCCATCCCCAAAGTGTTTTCTAATGGTGCCATCTTAAATAACTGTAGCACAGTATCACAAACAGAATATGGACATTGATACAATCCAACTATCTTATTCAATATTCAGCTCTCACCCATTTTATAGGCCCTTTGTATGTGTTGTTCTGTTGTAATTCTACCAGACGCATAAATTTCTGTTGCTATTACCACAGTCAAGATACAGAACAGGACATAACAAAGGTCCTTTTAAAACCACAGTCTCCTCTATATTTCGCTGTCTCCATAGCCCCTGGCAACCATGAACCTGCTCTCTATATCTGTAATTTTCTCATTTTAAGAATGTCATATAAACAGAATCATACTGTATTTAACTATTGAACTGGACTTCTTTAACTCAACATAGTTCTCTAGAAATATGTGTAAAATGTTTCATGTATCAGTAGTTATTTCATTTTTATTGCTGAGTAGTAGTCTTTTTTGGGGGGGGAGGGGCAGGTGAGTTCATTGGTTGAAGGAAATCTGGGTTATTTCCAGAACTATTGTGAATAAAACTGCTATGAATTCTCATTTACAGGTTTTTGTGCAAACTTAATTTTTCAATTTCTTCGAGATCAATGCCCATGAATGTAACTGCTGGATCTTAAAATAGTTGCATCTTTGGTTTTGTAAGAAATGGCCAAATTTTTTTGCAGAGAGAATGTTCATGATTCACATTAGACAGTCACACAAGCAAATGTAACACTGATATATCTTTTCTGTATTCTTATCAGCATCTGATTTTTTACAATATTTTATTTTAGTCATTCTGAGAGATGTGTACTGATATCATTATGGTTTTAATATGTATTTATTTTGTGAATAATATTGTCGAACATTTTTCATGAGGTAAGTCTCCTTTTAGGATTCCATACTGTTTATTCACATTTACTTTCCAGTTTTACTAAGATATAAATAACGTCTTATGCCTCCACGCCTGGCTGTCCTCACCGGGGCCCCTTGGAGAAGGGTGGGTTGAGTTTCCCTCCCTATCCTGAGCAGAGCCCCGGCAGCTGAAGATCTCCAGTTCCAGTCACACCATGCTTAAGACCACTCTCCACATGTTCGGACGAGCCTCACTCATGAAGGAACCGGCAGAGGAACCCAGGTGTGCGGGACCCGGGGCGTAGATCTCCAAGCCTGCTTGGATTGGGACTGGGGCCTCCTCCACCCAGATCCTCCATCTTCCAGTATGTAGGCATTACACCCACCAACTGCCCGTGGCACCATGTAAATCCATCAATGGTCAAGATCCAGACTATAAAACCCTGCTCCTGGAAGTGACATCTTATTATCTAGTTCTTACTTTGGAGAACCTGGCAGGCTACCAGAAGTATCCTGCCCACATGGCAGAGTCTGGCAAACTCCCCGTGGCGAATTCATTATGCCAAAAACCAGTAACAGTGATGGGTCTCATTCATTGAAAGACCCTGAAAGAGCCTCGAATGTGGCACTTTTTAAAGTCTCAGGGCTAGGACGAAGGAGACGTTACTGGGGCCTGCTTGAGGATGACAACAGGATGACAGTGATATAGTGAACATATGGCATTGTGTATGCTTAAGGAGTCAAGAATATATTGCATAATTGTTAACTAAAGTTAGCAATCAACTTTAGACCTCTAGGATTCATTTCTCCTATAACTGGAAGCTATAACTGGAACCCGTTGGCTAATATCTCTCCACTTTGCCCAGCCTTCCCAAACACTACAACCACCATTCTTCTTGGGTTGGATTTTCTGAGTTCCACAAATAAAGTGAGATAATATGGAATTTGCCTTTCTCTCACCTATTTCACTTAACGCAACACCCTCCAGTTTCATATACATTGTACATTTTAAGGACACTTTCTGTGTGTGTGTGGGGGGTGTACTGCTACAAAGGATGTGGCTGCGTAAATACCTCTTTAGCATTGTTTCTACCCATCCTTTCAATGTACAGGCAGGAATGGAACTGCAATGCAGTTTTATTCATCGGTTGTATCAAGTTACGTTCCCATGAGAACAGAGCGCAAAAGACCACCCTTCCTTGATATGACTGATGCCTAAGAAGCAGCAACCCACCCCCTCCCCACTCGCCCTTCCTTCAGTCTTGGCATTTTGCAAAATAAACTTATATAAGATAGTGCAAGTTTGGCTTTCCTTGGTGACAGTGGCCATAGCTAAGTTATTTGGCATGTTTGACTTTCAACAATAACAACAACAAAATGGTTTTGGTGTGGGGTTTGGTTTTATTTCGTAAAAAATGTATACAATGTCAAATTTCACATTTTATATAATAGTATCTGGCTACTAGTATTTTACAGGAACCATAGTTCTTGGTGACTACACACACACACACACACACACATATATATATATATACATATATTTTTGTTACTTTTTTGTAAACTAAGTGCCGTTTCAACGTTACAATCATTTTTAGAGTTATTGTAATCAATGTGAATATCACGTTTTTCAAGTCTGAGCCTACAGTGTTTGCTTTGTGAACCTATGTGTAATGTATATAATCTGTATAGTTCTATTGTACTGAAATTTTAGCTTGTTTGATAATAAGGAAAGTATGTATTGAGTATCTTTTTGCTAGTCTGGTGTTTAATCTTTTTAAAAAAAGGTTGAAACTTTTTTTGAAAAAAAAAAACTTATATAAGACAGCTAAACCCCATGTCTACTCCGACCACAAATTGTAATTTTTAAATGAAAATCCATCTCCTTCATTATACCCGAACTTGTGTCAGAAGCGCTTTTGCACAATTCGAGATTCCCAGTCAAGTAGACTGCTCGTTACAATGCTAACACGCGGCTTTCTTCAAGAAATGAGTAACAACAAACAGAATGATTTCAGTGCCAGAGAGAGGTGTTGACGCAAAGAAAGAATGCTCTGAGGAATAGGGCAGTAACGGCGGCCGCCAGCCCATTAACAATGCTCCAGCTCCAACTCTGGAAGCACGCCCAGAGCCAGCGCTTGGACTGGCGCCTGCGCAGCTCTCACTCGGCCCCGCCCCCTCCGGCCTAGTCCCGCCTCCCGGACCCGCCCTTCGGACCGCTCCGCCGGAGGGCAACCAATTAGGACCGCTTGTACAGGCGCCTGCGCAGGGCTCTCGCTCGACCCCGCCTCCGTCCGGCCTAGCCCCGCCTCTCGGGCCCGCCCTTGGGGCCGCGCCACCCGATGACAACCAATCAGGAAGGGGAGGCGGGGCCCGTGCCGCGGTGCTCTCTGGGTAGTGTCCGTAGTTACTGTTGCTAAGGCTGTCAGTCGCCGCCAGTGGTGGTGCAAGGTTGGGAAGCCTGCACGCTGGAGAGGTGAAGAGTCGCGGTGAGGCGATGGTGAAGCAGACAATCCAGATTTTCGCGAGGGTGAAGCCTTCTGTCCGGAAGCATCCACAAGGGGTATGGGTTGGAACAGCTAGACCTCCAGGGCGGGCCGGGGGGGAGGCGGGCCTGGCGCACGGGCTGCTGCCCCACCCGCGGGTGCCGACACACCTGCCGACTCACCGGCCCGGGAGGCGCCGCTCTCCCACCCAGCACGCCCCGCGGAGCAGCAGACTCGTGTCGGGGTAGGGCGGGCTCACTCCCGCAGGTGTGCGTGCCCGTGCGCACGCAGACTGCTCTTTCACCGCCCTTTTGAAACCTTTCTTGGTTCTGCACGCGCGGGTACACTCACACTTGTTTGCACTCTTAGCGAAAACTTGCAAGAAAGTGATTAGAACTCTGAGCATCTGATACAGATATTAGATAAATACCCCTAAAGCATTTCGCTGCTACTTAGCACACAGGATCCGCTTATGAATGTGACCAGCTGCATGGTTATTTTTCAGCATACCATGAATTTTAACATCCATTCATTGCAAATCTGGATAGATACACATAATGCTTCCTGAAACGAGGTATACACATTGGCAAGTTATTCAGAAGCATGAGCTGAGCGACTCCTGCGTGTTGTCCTGGCATGCTAAGATCAGAAGAGCACGCAGAGGTGAAGGCTTTACCTTTGTTCTGAGCAGAGGGATTCTTTGAATAATACTGCTGCTGCTGCTGCTGCTCCTTCTCCTTCTCCTCCTCCTCCTCTTCTTCCACCTCCTCCTCCTCCTCCTCCTCTTCCTCCTCCTCCTCCTTATCCTCTTCCCCCCCAACCCCCCCCCCCCCCCCCCAGAGATGCACAGGGTTTACTCCTGACTCTGCACTCAGGAATGACTCCTGGCGGTGCTCAGGGGACCATATGGGATGCTGAGAATTGAACCCAGGTTGGCTGCGTGCAAGGCAAACGCCCTACCCGCTGTGCTATCACTCCAGTCCCTGAATGCTTCTTAAATGTTTCAGAACTTTCGCCTTTCCTGTGTAGGAAGGAGCATAGCATTCTTAGCACTTGGGTGCCAGAATTGGTGGCATTTTCTTCATTTTATAGGTGAGGAAACAGAGACTTCAGTTAAATGATGTGACCAAACCTCCCCCACCTAATACGTGGCATAACCCTGATATTAATTTTTTTAAATGATAATGCTCTCTGCTCTTCAGAAAGGCCTGTTTTTTTTGTTTGCACAAAGTGAGGATTTAGACATGGGCAATCTGACAGCATTTTTGAGTCTGAACTGTTGGATATGTTGTTAATATTTTTATCTCTGTTCATTTTTTACATTTTTTATAAGCATGGGTGTAGTATCTGGTGACTTTGTAATTTAGCATCTTCTTCATGTAGCTTATGTATTTAAAACAAGGAGAATATAATATCTGTCATCATCATCAGTCTTTTTATTCATGGAGTATTGGGAAGAATACTGAATTCCTGAGTTTATTTTTTTAAATTTAAGAAATAAAGTCATGTAGAATTGAACAGTGGTGCTGACCCACGTTGCTCATATTCTGTTCACCTTAAAGAAAGGTGATGCTGGGAATCACATCAAATTGAAGTCCTAACTGATGCAATAGTTGTGCTCTAGTCATGTAGTCACATCCCCAAGTCTCCAAACACTCTGTAAAGTGCTTCATAAATGGACAGGGGAGTGATCTTGAATGTCTCGAGCCCCTCATTTTGTTTGTATTAATCCCAAATTTGAGCCCCAGTTTTAATCCCCAGTGCTGAATGACTCTTCGATCGCCTCTGGAGAAGTGGCCCTTTACCCCATTATTGAGCCTGGAGTAACCCCAGAGCACTCCTGGATATGCCCTTCCAAACAAAGCAAGTCAAAAAAATGAATCAGATATCAAGTGGTTTCTTAGCCCAGATTAATTGAACATGTTAGATTTCTCTTCATAGATTTAGCAAGTGTTTGGATGTAGTAAAGTGAGGATGACTGAGGTAGGCTTGGATGAGGGTATTGATGGAGAATTTTGAATATAATATTGAAGTTTCTCCATTCATAAAATGCATTGCATAACTATTTCATTATACTCCTTCTTTGATTTATTCTGAGAAACAATGGGGTAGATTGTTTGTTACTCCAGAACGTATTTTTCAACGTCTTACTGGATTTTCTCAATTTTTTCCCAAGCTTCAGCACTATACTACATGCACAAACAGAAAGAGATAAGATGAAGGAATTTTGAGTTCGTTCCCTGTTCTTATTTAGAAATCCTACTGTTAGGATTTTTTTCAGTTTTTTTCCAGAAGGCTGCATGGTTGTTTCACTGACTGAAAATGGTGCTTATAGTATAAAATCAAGAGTGATGCACAGGAATATTTCTTTCCCTCTCTTCATTTTGTGGCTCCATTGCTTCATTAATCTAATTCCTTAAGTCACTAAAACTAACTGATAACATTTTTGTCCATTAATAAATTAGGAGGTACAAAAGATGAATCTTGAGGCTAATTTAAATTGTGTCACTTTTCACTTGTATGGTGCTCTGCACATTTCTGAACATTTTCAGATTTATTCTTGCATTAACTCTGGCTATCTTCCAGTCTAAAACACAAAACATATATAAAATAATAAATGTTTCTTATTTTGGCTTTTACCTTTACCTTTATTTTGTTTTTTGGGACACACTCAGCAGTGATGCTCAGGGGTTACTCCTGGCTTTGCATTCAGCAATTACTCCTGACAGTGCTTGGAGGACCATATGGTATGCCAGAGATCTAACCTGGGCCAGCCACATGCAAGGCAAGCACCCTACCCACTGTATTATTTCTCCAACCCCCTATGACTAAAGATTGAAAGTCAATTTTTTAGACTGAATGAATTCTATTGTTTTAAGGGACTTTTCTTATTACCTCAGATAATAGCTTTATGAGAATGGCGGCAGGTCACTGTCCTCCCCTATTCCTTGGTTCTTTCTCATAGGCACTAATGCATCACAGATGCAGAAAATTGTGTGGCAGCCTCATTTTTATTTGCTTCCTAGCTCAGGCCCTCATTAGCTCACCTGTCTAGCCATTAACTTTTTAAAATATGTCCCACAGGACATAATTTATTTATTTATTCATTTATTTTTTATTTGTGACCACCCCCGGTGGTGCTCAAGTCTTATTTTTGGCACTGTATTCTTGATTTGGAGTGATTCTTGGTAGTGCTCAAAAGATCATATGCAGTGCTGGGGGTTTAAATCGGGCGATGCAAGGCAAGCACCTGTACTAACTCTCCAATCCCGTAGTTTTTATTTTATTATTATTTGAGGTGGGCTGGAGCAACAGCACAGCGGGTAGGGCATTTGCCTTGCAAGCGGGTAGGCCATGTTGCCTTTCAACATGGCCCACCCGAGTTCAACTCCTCCACCCCTCTTGCAGAGCCCTGCAAGCTACCGAGAGTATCTCGCCCGCACAGCAGAGCCTGGCAAGCTACCCATGATGTATCCGATATGCCAAACACAGTAACAATTGTCACAATGGAGATGTTACTGGGCCCGCTCAAGCAAATCAAGGAACAACGGGAGGACAGTGACAGTGACAGATTATTTTAGGTTACAATTTGTAAATGTCTCCTGAGAAAACCTTGCCAGAAAACTCTAAACCTGTTGTTTTTACTTTCCGTAATTTTATTTTACTAAATGGTTGTTGGCTGCGTGCAAGGCAAATGCCCTACCGCTGTGCTATCACTCCAGTCCCATAGATAGCACAGCGGTAGGGCGATTGCCTTGTGCACAGCCAGCCTGGCCAAGCCAGGTTCGATTCCTCTGCCCCTCTCAGAGAGCCTGGCAAGCTACTGAGAGTATTCAGTATGCCAAACACAGTAACAAGAAGTCTCACAATGGAGACGTTACTGGGCCCGCTCGTGCAAATCGATGAACAACGGGAGGACAGTGTTTGTTTGGACAGTAAAGTTCCTGAATAAATATTTTAAATGAGAGGTTTCAGTTAAAATGTACTCAGGAAAATTATTCAGACTTTCCAGAGATTTAGGTAGGCTTTTACTTATTTAAGGATTTGGTTTTTCCCCCCCAGAATTAAGCTTCTAAATAGTCTAATGTAGGAAGTATTGCCCAATAGAAATAATTTTATTTCCTGGTGAGAGACAAGAAGTCTCTTTTAAAAAACCCTCTTAATCTACTGACTAATACTTTTTATATGGAGTATTACAAAATGCTTCCATTTCTGTGACATCAGCTAGTCCGCATAGAAATCTTATGAGAAGAGTTCTGTTTTTCTCATTTTATTTGTGAAGAACTGAGAATCTAAGTGGTGGATTGTTACACAGCTGGGATATTGAGCTCAGTGTTGGATTCAGGTCTTGAACACCAAAGTTTACACTTTTCTTTATTCCACATGACCTCTTTATAGGCTTGACTCTTGATTTCCCTTGCCCATAAATATAGCAGTAGGTAAGAAAGAAGAAGAATTCACGGTTGTAAAGGGGTCGGTTAAAACTTTCCATTTCCGTATCAGTTTAGAGAGTTTTACTGATTTCTCCCAGGTCATTTGCTAGTTAGTGGCTAAACTGGGAGGAGAACCTTGAAAATGGCATCAAAGGCATGAATTACATGTGTCTTTTGAAACCACATGTCTTTTATCTTGGACATGTCTTTTAGCTTAGACGTGTCTTATGGAAACTTGGGCTTCTTTGAACATAACTTGAATTAGAGCATTGTTGCAATCTCTCTAAGAAGTCTCAGACAAGTCCTTTGATCTCTGTGTCTAGCATTTTGTAAATGCTCAGTAATGCTTGTTGGTTGCTGCAAAATGTTGATTTCTGGTACATAATTCCAAAGAAATGCTTAGATAAAATTTTTTCTTTCAGGGCTATTAGTTTCTCAACAACAAAGACACATAAATGTTCAAATTTATACATTAGATCATTCAAAGATAATCTGTGCTTTGAGAGAGCATTGACTTAGGTTTTACCTCTTGTTCAGTTCCATTTATTTGTTTGGGTATGCACACAGTTCAAAGAGGAAAATTATCCAAATTATACTCAGCTATGACTTTTTATCTTAAAAGTACAATTTCATACCATTGTAATGCACATCATAATAGCCTGGTTTTAGTTTAAGCTGCAGTTGTATCATTTTGTATTCATTTGTGGTCACCCTTTACAGATTTATTCCATAGATGAAGATGAAAAATTAGCATCTAGTTTGGAAATTATCTTACCTCGTGATTTGGCAGATGGATTTGTGAATAATAAGCGAGAGAGCTACAGATTTAAGTAAGTTTATCTGTCTTTTTCTTTATGTGTGTATGTTTTGCTGTGAAACTAGCATTAAATGAAACCAGCATATTGCATTTATACCTTCTATGATGTCGTTAGCATAATTTCTTATAAACCATGCAATGTAGTTCTCTGTATTATCTAATAGATTTATACTTGTTGAACTTTTATTTTACAATAGTGCACAAAGTTGCAGAGAGGTATGTATTTTTTGAATTTTGTTAAAGCATTATGATTTACAAAGTTATTCATGGTTGAGGTTTTGACATACAGTGTTCAAATACTGATCCCACCACCAGTGTCAACTTCCCTCTACTACTGTTCCCTGGTTTCCTCCCATTACACCTCATACCACTCCCCTTCCCCAGCTCTACACACTACACACACACACACACACACACACACACACACACACACACACACAGAGCCTGCCATATTGACAGGAACCTTTTAAATTGACCCCGCACCCTTTTGCATATTATCTGTCTCTTCTCTCCCACCCCCTCCACTTGATTTCTTTCTTTCTCCTATCCCCCTTTAAATCATTGCATTTCCTCATCCAGTTTTTCTAACATATAAGTGTTTTACCCTGTATTTATCCTTTCATTCTGTGTTTATCTTTTCATTCATATCCTTATCATTCTGGCTTACTTCATTTAACATGATATCTTTCCAGTTCCATCCATGTTCCAGCCAATTACATGATTCCATCATTCCCTATGTATTGTGTCGTATTCCATTTGTACACAAACCACATCTTCATGATCTACTTATCTGTCATTGAACTTCTAGGTTGATTCTATGCCTTAGCTATTGTCCTGAGTGCTGCAATGAAGAATGGTATGCCTATGTCATTTTGAATGAATTTTCTCTGTCATGGAGATAATACCCAAAAATGGAATTGCTAGGTCATATGGAATTTCAATTCTGAGTTTTCTGAGAATCCTTCATGCTGTTTTCCTTAGGGTTGGACTATGAAACATTCCCATCAGCACATCCCTGACAATACAGAATTTTAGCTATTTTTCACTGCCTTTTTTTTTATCCAGTTCTTCCCTCCTTGACCCACTATGGCTTATAGAGGTTCAGTGTATGACTAAGCTTTATTAAAGACAATAGTTTCTGATAAAATTTAAGTATTATATAAGTGACCCTTCTGTTTAACATAAAAACATATACAATTGAATGAAAAAGTAAAAATTAATAATAAAATAACTATAAAGTAATAACAAAATGTCAAAATCTAAAACTAAAGAATAAAGATAGTATAAAATAACCATAATCAACAACATTTGAGGCTAATAGAGATCAGGACCAAATGAATCTGTTTAGTATTTTTCTCCTGAATCATAAATAAACCATAAACCATAAATATATGTGTATGAGAAATAACACATGCATCATACATATGTATGATAATAGTACATACAAATTTAAGTAATTTATCTGTCTCCCTCATTTCTGTTTTGCTGTAAAACTAGCATTAAATGAAACTAGCATATTGCACTAATACCCTCTGCTATCGTAAGTACACTTTCTTATGGAGCATGCAATGTAGCCTCTGTCTTATTTTATCCAGTATATATATATATATGTATATACATATATATACATATATATACACATAGGAGCTACTATATAATAGACCATATATCAGAAGTTAATTTTAGTCACATGCCACATGCAGCTCCTAAGCATTTAAAATGTATGCCAATGTACTAATAGTTATAGATGTAGTTGCATAAAAATAAAATATAGTAAATATCTCAAGAATGTTTTCATATTGACTATTAAATGTTAAAAATGTTAAAATTTGGGATATAGTAGGTTAAATAGATTACATAAATATGTTTATTGACTAAATCATACTTCTCTGGAACATCGATAAATAGTATGGTTCAGGAGAAAAATGCTACACAGATACCTTTGGTCTTAATCTCTATTAGCATCAAATGTTGTTAATTATGGCTATTTCATACTATCTTAATTCTCCAGTTTTAGATGACATTTTATGTAATTCTTTTTAAATTTTGGAGGAGTTGAAGCCCATTTTAACCCACATTGATTGCTGGCTCAAGCTGTCGTGAAAGATTCCTGGGTTTTGTTGGACGCACCCTAATTGCTCTCTTAACTTTCTCTGGTGACTGGTTTACATTGGCTCTGTTTGAAAACTATTCCTGCCCTTTCCCTTTGGATAAAATTTTCCCAGATTTATTTTTTATGACTTTCCTCCTCTTTCTTCATCCCACCAAGGTTTATGTTTCTTTTTCCTTACACTCTGCCTTTGTACATGTATCATTAATATATGTATTCTCTCATCCACTTCTCATTATTTTACATATATAAACAGAATTTCAAGCACATGATTACAGAGTGAGGTGGCCCTTACCTTGTCTTTTTGGTTTCCTGCTGCTTGCCTTGTCCTTCCTAACATACTTTCTCTGTAGGGACTTTCTCCCATAAGTGTGCTTTAGTGTCTCTGATTCATGAGAGCTGTTTTATTGTCAAGCAATTTACCATATCTTTAGTGTCCTTACCATATCTTTATTGCATTGCATTGTATTCAGTCCTTTGCATTGTATAGACACATACGTATACCTAAACTTATGCTTGTTGACAAAGTAATACTGGCTTACTTTTTTATTATTTCAAAACTGTTGAAGAGGAAGCACAGTGAGTGAGGAACTGTTCCCAGTGCAGTGTTTGGCGACTGTCCTTATTGACGGACCCTGAATCCAAGGCTCCTTCCCATGCAGCATGCTCTCTAGTCCTTTGAGCCATCACGCTGTCCTGACTTACTTGTTTTCTAAGGGATACATCTGGGTGGTGTTCTGGTCCAGTCATGGCCTAGTAATGTCTCAGGATTGAACTTAGGGCTTCATATGCACTCTACTACTTGGGCCTCATCCATAGTACTGTATGATTATTTTTAAATCGTTTAATCACTCTCCTAAACCTCTGGATTCGAAATCACTGGATTTTTTATTTTATATAAAGAAAACAGTAAAGTATTTAACTTATTAAATATTTAAACATTTTAAAGGTCATTTTCTTCCAAGAAAACTTATTAAATCAATATTTATTGACCATGACTCTATGCTGTTTCTGTAAAATACCACCACAGGGAATGTAGTAATCAAACTCCTGCTCTTGAGGTGCTTCCATTTTGGCGGGAGGAAATGGGAAAGCGAATAAGCAAGTAAAACACCTATTAGAAAGGGCTGATCCAGGAGGAATGTAAGGCAGGGCAGGATAGTGATGGGTACTGGCTGGGATGAGGGCCCACACGGGGAGAGATGTCTACAGTGTCTCACAGAGACGCCTGGGAAGGCACTGTGGCAAAGTGACAGTCGAGCAAAGGCCTGAGGAGGTGAGGAAGCCAGGCATTCAGGTGAGGGAGGGCGATTTCAGGCCTCTGAAGCAGAGTGAAGTCCCTGAGATGGGGCCTGGGGAGGTGTCTGGCATGTTGAGGAAAAGGGAAAGATCTGTGTGATTGGAGACGAGTCAGCAACGTTGCAAGGAGAGATTGGTCAATGGGGTCACAGAGGGACAAGGTCACATGGGACCTTAAAAATCACTCTAAGGATTTGGGGGGAGTAAGTTAAAGCTTACTCAGATGTGATTTGGGAGGTAAGAGAGGGTTTTGAACAAATGATCAAAATAATCTCATTTATGTTTTGTGAGATAATTCTTGCTGACATGTGGAAAATAGTCTGTTAGGAGGCAGGGGAAACCAGGCTACTTTTGCAAGGGAGAACAGGCAGGAAATTATGGAATCTTGAGAGAGGAGAGTAATAAGTGGAAATATTGAGAACTAATTGGATTTTGGCTATTTTAAAGGGCAAAGCTGACAGACTTTGCTGATGGATTGGTTAGCATAATGGAAAGAGGAATCAAGGATTCCCTCAAGGCTTTGGGCAGAGTACTTAGAAGGATGGAGCTGTCATTTAGTGGCCAACAGGAGACCAGGAAGAAGGTGGAAAGAGGTCAGTGGGTGCTAAGTTTGAAGTGGACTTTAGAAAAAGCCTGTACAATTTTTCAATGAACCATCAGGAAACCTCAAGTTATGTATTGACTAGGTCCAGGACTGTGAATAAATTGCTTTATCTCCTTGTGAACTTCATCAGTCAAAGATTTAGATTGAACTTGTTTAACATAATTTTTCTAAGAGTTTATGAAAGACAAAGCACCTAAGGATTTTTAGAAGATAGTGGTTACAACATTGCCTTTACTGATTACTATGTAACTGTATTAAGTAGCACTGTAGCACTGTCCTCCCGATGTTCATCTATTTGCTCTAGTGGGCACCAGTATTATCTCCATTGTGAGACTTGTTACTGTTTTTGGCATATCAAATACGCCTCAGGGAGCTTTCCAGGCCCAACCGTGTGGGCAGGATATTCTCAGCAGCTTGCTGGGCTCTCTGAGAAGGATGGAGGAATTGAACCCGGATGGGTAGAGTGCAAGGCAAACGCATTACCACTGTGCTTTTGCTCCAGCCCAGTATTAAATAATATAAAATATTTGGGGATTATGATATTTGAAGTTTAATGCCTCTTATAGACATTGAAATTACTGCCATCTCTTTGTTATAAATGGTGGTAGATGTAATTTCTATTATTTAAGGAAATGGGGATAGAAATGTCTAATTGATTGAGTTAGCTCTTCCTCAGTAAAAGCAATAAATCAGACTTATGACTGTCATCATCCTCCAAAAATCTACTTCTATGACTGTGTTCAAACACAGTTTGCAGTGCTCTGGAGCGATTTCACCAGCCACATCCCTGTGTTATCTTAGTACTCAGATCTGAAGTTGCTAAACCCTGCTGGGGGTCTGGATCTTGGTCTAAGTCACTTGGTATGTGTCGCTCTCTGGCCAGTGGAGTGAGGCAGCAGTCACAGTGCCTCTCCATTTCTTTTTACTCCACTTTTGCTTTTTCCAAAAGGCTGGTTGATCTTTTAGGGGTCTTTAAAATAAATAATAATTTTAAAATGAACTTAATTCCCTTTCACTTCATAATTTCAATTCAGCTGAAAAATATCCTTTAAGCGCTTTAGAAAGTAAAATCAACATTTCTTTTCATACATTTTCTGCTTTAATTGAACATGTACACAATTCACTTGCATGGGCTGACGCATAGGCCAAAAGTCCCCTTGCTGCCCTGAAATCTGCTTAGATGTTTGTTCTTCTGAAGAACATGTTTGTTCTGAAGGTTTTCATTTAGCTGCTCCTCACCCCAACTTTCATTTTGACAACTTCTAAATAGGAGAAAAGGTGGTGAAAATAACGCAATAGTCTCTTTTCAGCCCTTTGTGGGAGTCACCTTTTGTTTACATAGTTCACAGTTCTATATCAGTTTTGCTTATGCTTACTTTCTCTAGCCATGATAGATTTTTGGAGAAGTTTTAGGCTCCTATTGGTGGTGCTTGGGGACTACTGCTGTTTCTTCAGTGCTTGGTGATTGCTGCCAGCAGCGTTTGGGGGACTATGTGCTGCCCTGGATAGCAATGGGACCCAGATCTCCCCCGTGCAAAACTTCTGTTCCAGCCATTTGAGTTATCTCTCCACCTCTTTTGTGATGCTTCCCTGGGGTCCTCTCGCTCGTGCTGGTAGCTGCTTACAACACTGCACCAGAATAGGTTTTATATCCCCAGCCCAGGTATTCCATTGGGATGTTGTGTTAAGCTAAATCTGGGTGCCTTTGCAAGAAGAATGAAATTCACACTATTCCTTCTTCCCATTCATTAATCTTGCCAATCGATAAAGACTTGTCTTTGCAGGATAGGTCTGTCTTAATTCACTTTTTGACTTTTGGCTCATGGTCAACAAAATGAAAACAAAACCATTCTGAGCACTGACTGATACTAAAGATACAGTACATAATTAATGGAAAACAAACCAGTTCAAAAATCCCAACACTGAGTTCAGTGAGCATGCATTTCACAGCTGCGTTCTTTTCTTTACAGGTCAGACATCAGAAGTTCATTGGCTATTTACATCCTGTTCTTGGATGTAAATATCTTATCTAGATCTGAATGTGGTGCCAATTACAGACACTGTCCCTCTTGAGAGCTTGAGAAAAAAAAACTCAGTTTATGATTTGGTTCAAAGCTGCTGCAGTGTTTCAGAGGGGTTTATTGTGCAGATCCTGTCTGAGCACTGCTGATCACCCACCATTTGAATACAGGGCCACAACAGTGGAGTTTGGTTGGGATACAGGGCAAACAATGTGTTGACTTAGGTAAACTCGGCGATATATTTTTGGGTAAGTCATAAAATGTTTAAGAAACTATCATTAATCCGATAGTATTTGAAGGCTCAGATTTTAAGTAATTACTATTTTCCACATTTTCAGATTTCAACAAATTTTTGATCAAGATGCAAACCAGGAGATCATTTTTGAAAGCATTGCCAAACCAGTTGCTGAGAGGTAGGATTTCCTCTATTTTGTTGAGAGGATTAGTGGTTTTTCATCTTGTCTTCGGTTCTCAGATAATTGTGGTAATGCACTTCAGAATATCAGCTATAGGCTCAGGACACAGAGATATAATGGCGATAGCATTAATACCATCTATTCCTATATCTATTTAAAATTTAGTTTCTGAACCTCAGACAAATTAATGGAAGATGAAGATAACTATTATTACTCTTGTTTTATTTATTTATTTTAATTTTTATTAGTGAAACACCATGAGGTACAGTTGTAGACTTACAAATTTTTGTGCTTGGGTTCCAGTTATACAATGATCAAGTACCCATCCCTCCACCAGTGCCCATTTTCTACCACCACGGGTCCCAGTATCCCACCCCTCACCCCCTCCATCCCACTCTGCCTCTGTGGAAGGGCATTCAATTTTGTTCTCTCTCTCTCTCTCTCTCTCTCTCTCTCTCTCTCTCTCTCTCTCTCTCCTTTTGGGTGTTGTGGTTTGCAAAAGAGGCTTTGTTATTACTCTTATATTGCCCTCCCGTTGATCGTCGATTTGCTCGAGCGGGCCCAGTAACGTCTCCATTGGAGACTTTGTTGTTACTGTGTCTGGCATATCGAATACTCTCGGTAGCTTGCCGGGCTCTCCGAGAGGGGCGGAGGAATCGAACTCGGGTCGGCCATGTTGGCTGCGTGCAAGGCAAACGCCCTACCCGCTGTGCTATAGGGCTAAATACCTAAAGATTGGAGTGATTAAGTGACAGTGCTCAGGATAGAAGGGTTGGGGGTGGATAATTCTAAATGGTTTTCTGTTAAGTCCTCAGTACTTCATGGTTCCAGACATCATGGTTAGGTGGATAAAGGATTCTTTAAACAAAGAAAAATATATAAAGTTCCAACAGCAAAAAGATATAAAGTAAAAGAAAATAGGAATTTTAGAAATGAAAAGCGTAAATAACTAAAATTTTTTTAAAAAATGGTAGATGTAGTCAGCAAAAGAATGAAGAAGTGATAAGAGCAAACTGATGAATTTGAAGAGAGAACAAAAGATGTTGCCCTATGCGGACCACAGAATGAAAATAGACTGAAAGTGGGAAAATAAGAAAGAGCAGACTCCTTCCCTCTGCCCACTACTGGGTTCATAAATGTTATTTTACTAAAAGCCCCTGCAGAGATCTATGAGAACTATATCTAAAATGTAACCACTTTTGTCATCAGGAGCCCAACAGAGAGGAGAAAGAATGTAGAGTTGAGAAGTATTTAAAGGTACTGGAGACATAGTATAGGAAGCAATCATTAGCAATCTTGTATGTGAATAACCCCTGTCTGGTTCCCAGTACCACATATGGTCCCCCAGACACCACCAGAAGTTACCCCTAAGCACAGAACCAGGAGTAAGCTTTGAAAACAGCAGGTGTGGCCCAAAATTTCCTATGGGAAAGAGAAAGAGAGAGGAAGGAAAGGAAGGAAGAGAGGGGGAGGGATTTTCAAAAATAGCAGATTACCGAAATTTAGTAAAAGGTATAAACATAGAGCTTCACATGGTTAAGAAAACCCAAATAAAATAAACTCCAAAAAATCAAGTCTAGGAATGGTCATGGTCAAATATCAAAAAACTAAAGATTAAAATGGAGAGGAATGAACTTTTCCTAGAAAGGAAAATATGATTTCTCATCAGAAATCATGGAATCTGGAAGGAAGATTTAGAATATTCTCAAGAGCTGAAAGAAAAGAACTGTCTTCCCCCAAACCTATAGCCAATGTCTTTATATTTCAGTAGTTAACAGGAGAGAGCTGGGGAGATAATACAAGTGTTAGTGCACTTGTCTTGTATGTACCAAGCCTGGATTCAATCCTTGGAATCACATGTTCTTTGATATAACTAAGTGTGGATCTGGAGGTCCCAAGCATCTCTGGAGTGAGCCTGGAAGTTACCACTGCTGGTGAAGCTCTGTGGTCCTTGGTACAGAATAATTTTACATCTTCAGGTCTTCTACATGTTCTGGTGGTCCCAGGTTCAAGAAACTCCACATCTTCAGTCATGTTATGAACTGAACACCCTGGTTGTCTGAGGATAGTTGGGAGTGGCCCCCATGTTCTCTGAGCACCATTGTGATGACCCCACAAAAACAGAAAAAGACTAAAAGGAGAACAATATTTTCATACAAAGGTATATTAAGAGAATTAATCACTAGAAAATTTACAGGAGAATAGAGATAAGGAGGTTTTGAAAAGGAGGAAAATGAAGAGAATACCTCTTACAAAACTGGAATATATGGTATTGGATGACGTTTGTTTCCAAGATGGATGATATTTGTACCCAAGACAAACCATTGGATACAAAACATAGATTACTAAGCAGTGGAGGGGATGAAGAGTGTATATACAAGAAACATCAGTATGCTTCATTCTCCTAATCCTGAAAGAGCCTTGAATATGGCACTTTTTAAAAAATCTCAGGGCTAGGACGAAGGAGACATTACTGGGGCCTGCTCGAGGCAATTGACGAACAACAGGAGGGTCGTGATGGTGATCGTGATCAGTATACTAGTGAAGGGCATTGGGCACTTTGGTGTTGGTGAAATGCAGTAACTTTGTATGGCAGTGCCATAAATGTTAATATTATTATAGCCATGTTGTCTCAACTATTAAAATATTTTTATAGTACTTACCTCTTTTTTTTTTAATAATGTAGGAGTACTGCTATTTGTTCAGCCATTGATTAAGCTGATTGAATTGGGCATGAACTCCACATTACTTTTTTTTTTAATTGTATCACCATGAGATAGAGTTACAATGCTTTGTATTTGAGATTCAGCCATACAATGATGGAACACTCATCCCTCCACCAGTGCACATTTTCCACCACCCACATCCCAGTCCTCACCCTGCTTCTGTGAAAGACAATTTCCCCAATACTCTCTATCTAATTTTTGGGCATTATGTTTTGCTCAAAATTTTCCACCACCATTCAAGCCTATTTGCCAGGGGCAGACGCTAGATAATTTATTTTCCATTTCTCATTTTGAGTATCATGAGAGCTTGCACTGCCGCAATTGTAAATGTAAATTTCTAGATTGTAAATAATTGAGTTCCAGAGACCTCTGTATGGTACTAATGCATTTTGGGATTCAGCTGGGAGTCTCTGGGCCAGGGCTGTTGGTGAGCTAAGATGGAGCCCAAAGGCAAATTGTGGGCATGACAGCCGGTCTGCTGGGTAGGTGGGGACCCAGGAAGGGACAGCCCAGGTCCTCTGCTGCCATGTGGCTGGAGATTCAGTCCTGGAACCCACATACCTGGACATTGCTTCTGGAAGCTCTTGGTCACCGGGATTCCATCTGGAATAGCTGGGGAGACTGCGCCTGCTCCATCTGGGGTATCCCAGTGAAATTGGCCCAGAATGGGGCCCAGAGAGATCTCCGGCACTGTGGTGTCTTCCAGGACTTGTTGCTGTTTTGGTGTGCTAAGATGATGCCTGGAGGCCAATTGTGGGTATGACAGCCAGTCTTCTGGGCGGGCAGGGACCCATGGAGGTACTTATCTCTCTCTCTCTCTCTTTTTTTTTTATGTAGGAGTACTGCTATTTATTCAGCCACTGGTTAGCTGATTGAATTGTGCATGAATTCCACCTTACTTTTTAAAATTTTTTTTATAATTTTATTTATTGAATCACCGTGAGAGCAGTTACAAAGCTTTCAGGTCTAAGTTTCGGTCATACAATGAAACACCCGTACCTTCACCAGTGCCCATTCTCCACCCCCAACAACCCCAGTATAGCCCCATCCCACACCCTCCCCTTACCTGTGGGACAGATGATTTCCACATTACTCTCTCTCTCTACTTTGATCTATTCAATATTTTGACACCAGACCCACCATTATTATTTGAAATTTTACTCCAACACTCAGATCTGCTGAAAAGGCAATTTGTTTTCTGTTGCTGGTTATGAATAACATACGATGTTGCATGGCTGCCGTAGCGGCTGCGCAATTTTGAAATTCCAAAATTTTAACACTTAAATCTGGAGGGATTTCTGCCTAAACCTGCTGGGTTCCAAGGTTTGCTCCTGAGTCTCTGGGATCATGGCCGTTAAGCAGCTTGATCAGGAGCCAGAAGGGCCATTCGTGAGCGATGACTTGGGGTCTCGTTGGGGTGGGGAGGACGGACCGGCTCCATCCCCGTCCCGTGAGGCCCAATAAGTTTTGTCACTGCGGGTCCAAATCTGACTGTCCAATGGCCTCTGGAGGATGGCACCCACCAAGCCACCAAGGGGAAGCAGGCGAAGGGACAGCACCCTTTCCCCCCTGGGGTGGCCCGGTGACAGTAACCTACTGTGGGATTCGACACATTTCTGCCAAAAGCCACTGGATTTTGAGATTTGTTTCTGAGTCTCTGGGATCATGGCCGTTAGCAGCTTGATCAGGAGCCAGAGAGGTCATTCGTGGGCAATGACTTGGGGTCTCGTTGGGGTGGGGAGGAGAGGACCGGCTCCACCCCCATCCCATGAGGCCCAACAAGTTTCGTCACTGTGGGCCCAAGCCTGACTGTCCAATGGCTCTGAAGGATGATGGCCACTGAGCCGCCAACGGGGAACAGGTGGAGTGACAACACCCTTTCCCCTCTGGGGTGGCCCAGCAACAGTAACCTACTGTGGGGTTCGACACATTTCTGCCAAAAGCCACAGGGTTTCAAGATTTGTTTCTGAGTCTCTGAGATCATGGCCGTTAAGCAGCTTGATCAGGAGCCAGAGAGGCCGTTTGTGGGCGATGACGTGGGGTCTCATTGGGGTGGGAGGACAGGACCAGCTCCACCTCCATCCCGTGAGGCCCTGTGTGTCTCATCACTGCGGGCCCTAATCTGACTGTTCAGTGGCCTCTGGAGGATGGCGGCCACTGGGCCGCCAGGGGGAACAGGCCAAGGCATGAAACCTATTCCCACCAGGATTGGCCCAGCACCAGTAACCTACTGCAGGGACCGGACGCATTTCTGCCAAAAGCTGCTGGGTT